GAAGAGAGAGGAGAGAGGGGGCTTCCTCATTTTATTTTTTTTCTCTCTACAAAACACAAAGAGGGAGAGAGTAAAAATACTCTCCAAAGAATACAATAAAACACACATTTTTCATCATATTGTTCTTCAATTTCATACAAGTAATTCGACTCTTATTTAACAGTTGATCGTCCGATTTTTTACATCAACATATATAAAACGTATTCCTTGAATACGGTTTCTGCATGATTTAAATGCAGAACGTATTCAAGGAATACGGGTTTCTAAATAAAAAAAAAAAAAGCACGAGGATCCCAGATTGGGGACTCGAACCCGTGTCTGTGGGTGAGTCCGGTTTCTCTGGGTGCACCTCGTACCAATGTGCCGCAAGGCACCTTGCGTTTATTTTTGCGCAAAGTAAATACATATACATATATTATAAATTGCAATGTATTATATACTATATGTTATACTATATTACATTAGTGTATGCTATGTTATACTATATAATATATAGTACATAGTATATAATATAACATCTACCATATGTTATGTTATATTATAAATTGGATTATAAAATATAATATAACATAACATATGTTATATTATAAGGTTTAGGGTTTAGGGTTTAGAACATACATTATATTAATCGTATTAATTTGACTTGAATTGTACAAATTTGACTTCAAGCTACTGTACATGAAAACTCAGTAACATAATCTACTTAATAATCAACAACATTAAATGGAAAATCAGCTTGGTACTTCTCCCTGATGAAGCTCTCCAGACATTTGCGATAGGAGAAGTCTTCTTTGCCACCATCAACAGAAACGACATAGAAACACATGTTATATATAATATAACATCTACTATATGTTATGTTATAATATAACATATGTTATAATTTTTAACATATATTATAATATTATATTATATGTTATTATATAATATAACTTATGTTATATTAATATAACATATGTTATATTATATTATAACATATATTATATAATATATGTCATTAATAAACGTATTCCCGGAATACGTTCTATAAATAATTCACATATAAAACGTATTCCCGGAATACGTTTTATAACTAAAAAAATTAAATCGTAGAGCATACTATATAATATACATAATATAACTATATATTAATATAATATACCATACTATAATATAATACATAATATAACTATATATTAATATAATATACCATACTATAATATAATACATAATATAACTATATATTAATATACCATACTATAATATATAGTATAACTATGTATTAATATACTATACTAAACCCTAAACCCTAAACCCTAAACCCTAAACCCTAAACCCTAAACCCTAAACCTTAAATATGTACGAATTCGAGTTCAATTGTACGATTTCGACTTCAATTGGATTAATTGTATTAATTTCACTTCAATTGTCAGGGTACTTCTCCAGACATTTGCGATAGGAGAAGTCTTCTTTGCCACCATCAACAGAAACGGCATAGAAACACCTGCTGTCCTGGAACTCTCCATGCAGACTAATTAGAGTTCAATTGTACTAATTCGACTTCACTTGTACTAATTCGACTTCGATTGTACTAATTTCACTTCAATTGTACTAATTCGACTTCGATTGTACTAATTTCACTTCAATTGTACTAATTCGACTTCGACTGTACTAATTTGACTTCGATTGTACTAATTTCACTTCAATTGTACTAATTCGACTTCAATTGTACTAATTCGACTTCGATTGTACTAATTTGACTTCAATTGTATTAATTAGACTTCGATTGTACTAATTCGACTTCAATTGTATTAATTTGACTTCAATTGTACTAATTTGACTTCAATTGTATTAATTTGACTTC